GTTCACTTAAGACATAACAGATTATGTTTGCATGAATACTTAAATACTGTAATTCTGTGTATATCTGTATATTTATCGGGATCGCGCGCGGCTGGAAGTGCCTTTATGCACGCGCTTCGGATGAGAGTCAGCGTACTCCTCTCAGAAAATGTAAGCCATCGCTAGATGAGGGCTTAATGAACTCATTTTTGAGAAAAACCCAAATTCAACTAAAATTGACATTTTTCACTTTCCGCATTCCGACTCATTTTGCCAGCATGGGTCACAAATAATAAAATAACACTGATTCACTAATTTAACTTCACGTTCACTGTAACTACAGTATTTTCTGTCAAACTTTGAGAGTATGTGATAAGTATGTGATGAGTAAACATACCATCATGGTATGACTCAAATGATGAATTCTCATGTTGAGTGTCAAAACTGGCCTCTAGCTTCTTGATTTCATATGCACGTTGAGTGTAATACTGACTTCCCTCAAACCTTCAGAGTGAATGTCAACATCATGAATGTCAAAATAATACAATCTCAACAATGTCAACTTCATTAACATTAATAAGTTAACTTCTGTTGCCAGCAGAAAACCCATATACTTCTTGGCAGCAGGAAGTGTGTCTTTGGGTTTGTATGAGAACTGCTGCATGCTTACAGCTGCTGTCCCATTATTCATCCTCATCTACAGGGAAAGTCAAGAAAACAGGACTGAGACTATGACATACACAATACAGCCTATCTTGCAAAAATAAATTCTAGCCATTCAAATGGACTATTCCTTGACTATAATGGATCATATTTTTTGAGTTATGTACATATATCCCTTGACAGTCAGAATTCTGACCTTTAAACGTTTCACAGGAGTCTCACAGAGTCTCTCATTCCTCATTTTTAGATTGCTGAGGTACGAGGTGAAATTTGACTGACTTACAGACCTTTTCATCACTCCAATTTTGCCTACAAGAGAAACTAGATGACTCAAGCAGCACAAATAATGACAGCACGGTGTAGGACAGGGTTCCTCAATTAGTTTTCGCCGAGGGCCAAATTCTGCCAACAATACCAAGGGCCACCGACCATGTTAGGACTAAAATGTTTGCTATTATTATTGTTGTTGTCGTTGCTGCTGTTGTTTTTGTTTTTATTGTTGTTAAAAGAGTCACAAGATAAATATTCAGATTTTTTCCCCCAGTAGTCAAACAATTCCCCAATTATTCAAACAATTATGAACATTTTTGTATTCAGATACTGAAAACTAAAGAACTTTGCCAGTTGAATATTAAAAACAAATGAACAAACAAAAAATCTGGAAGTCCATTTCTGCCATACAAGTCAACTGTTCCTGCTCATATGGATCTCTTCTCTCCACTTTCCCTAATTGCAGATTCAATTATTAGATCTGTCAGCATTAATATTTTTATACTTACATTTTTGGGGGGGGGATCAAACTGTAACACCGTGTCCCAACCATACGTGACGCGACGCCATAAGAGGTGGCTACTTTTCCATGTAGTTTTTGTCCTAACCCCCCGCAACAGCGACACGCGATAAGCGACAGGGAATTTCGAAACGGTTACTATTTTTTGCGATGTCACGGCTGAAACAACATACAAACTATGACAGTGATAATCTCAGGTAATGATTCTGTGCTTTATTCAGTGTTACAAGTGTCTAATGTGAGTTTGAATATTATATTGGGTGACCTTTATAGCCATATTGAAAGCAACAATAGATACCTCAGATCTTGAAAATAAATTAAAGAAACTTATGGTACGTTAAAATTGTTAACTCAATGTGAACCAACACATGTATTCCATAACAAAGACGGTATCACTCACTCACTCACTCAAAATTGTTCACAAGCACAGTTGTTTTCTGTGTCCACTTTTCTTCACACTCGCCATGTTT